AGGATAGGGAGTCCTGTGAAATGCCATGACATGGCCACTGCATTCATGAACTCATTGCAGCCGGGGTTAAATGCACCAGGCCTACACACCATTAGAGCCAAGATCAGCCACCATTCCAGCAGGCAGCAATAACTGGAGTCACTGGATTGCCCCCCCCAAAAAAAAGGACACAAGGGTGGGGAGAGCCCCCACATGGAAGAGGTGAGGGGTGTCCTGGGGAGTGGAAGGGAAGACTTAGGTATATGACCAACATACACTGCACATGTATATGAAACTGTCCAAGATAAAAATACTCTTTTAAAATGTGCCCACATTTCATGACTTTTCAAGTTATTAATCTGGATGGATGGATGACATGCATGTCATGACACACATGTAGAAGTCAGAAGACAACCTGTAGAAGTTGGTTCTCTCCTTCCATCCTGTGGGTCCCAGGAATTGAACTCAAGTCATCAGACTTACACAACATGGGTCTTTATACACTACGCCTTGTCATCAACCTGAGCTTCTCTTCCTATAATCTTCAAAATAATCGACAGTTTACCTAGTTAAGCCTCACAGCTAAATAATTATTCACAAACATCAGACTCAACTTTTACGGCTGCTACCCTGCAATGTTTATCTACTGAGCAAATAGAACCTCTCAGAGTTTCCATACTATTTCACTGTGACACAGACTATCTCCAACTGTGAAAATAAAATGTCAACAAAGTAAATGCATGTTTATACTAAGTAAAATTAGGGGTGGAACAGTCTGCTCTTCCATCCTAATCAACCTATTGTTCTAGAATATACACAGTATATTCTTGTTTTATATATGTGTGTGCACGTGTGTGTGTGTGTGTGTGTGTGTGTGCATTTTTTTTTTTAAAGCTCTGGCTGGCCTTTAGCTCACTATGTAGACCAGGCTGGCCTTGAACTCACAGACATCCGTCTACCTCGCCTCCCAAGTGCCATCACTTAAAGGCACTTAATCGCACCTAAATGTTCAACAACTTCCTAAAATATTTATGAAACAATTGTGCCTCAGTAAATTTAAGTGTATGAACAATTTTAAATGCATTAAATTAATACTACTTGTATCTAAATAGTTTGACAGTACTTTGAAGCTAAGTGTAGCAGTAAATCCCTGTAATCAAAGCACCTAGGGAGTGAAAGCCAACTAGACCACCCTGAGCTACAGCGAGCTCCTAGCTAGCCTGTGCTACATAATAAAATTCTGCCTCAAATGGAGAAAAAGGGGGAGGAGAAAAAGAAGAACGTGTATTCACATTAAAGAAATGTACTGACAATTTTATTTCAAATACACCAATTATCTATAAATGCTTTTATACCTGATTACAAAATGTCTAACATGAGCCAAGACAATGTTCCTATTTCACTAAAACTTTTAAGCCCAAGTTACAGGAAACACACTGTTTTAATCCTAAAAGGCACAGTATCTACTATATAAAGAACTTTCAAGTTCTATAAACAGAGCAGTCTTCAACAATCTCCAAGGTACCAAGTTTCCCAGGAAGGAGATGGTCTCTATAGATTAGACCAACTACTCATCCCCACGACACAATATAAACCAACAGAGACTGAGCTGGAAGCCGCCAGCTCTGAGCACTAACTCGTTTGAACTGTATGCTCCTCTTGGCATTCTCCTTCCTATTGTGCGCCCACAAGAAAGAGCTCAAAGCTCTCCAATTTGCCAAGCCCCTGTGATTGTTGTCCTGACTAGACAATGCTCAGCAGCAAATACTAAAGCCTGAGTCACTGGAGAAAGCAGCAATTCTAAAGGAACTCCCTTTACTCTCCTGGTGCCAGAATAATTCTGCTGAGAGGCTCCTCTACAAATGCCTGGGTGTGGGCCCTGGCCAGCTCATTTTAAAGACCTGCAGCTTCCAGAGTACTGTGCTACACAAAATTTCTTAGGAACATATTTTTTTGTTTGTTTTCATGCAGGGAAAAAGACAAAGATATTCCTTGATGACCTTGCGTCCATACCATTTCTGTATTCTTCCCATCCATGACATGTTCGTGCTACTGACATGGCTGGCCCAGACTACTACTTCTGACGAGTTTCTCTATCTCCAGCTCTGGCAACCTTCCATAACACAAATACCACATTCACCCAAACACACAATCACACCCACACAACCTAGCTACTCTCAAGATCAACCAATAACTGTTCATAGCAAAGGCCATCATGTCAGTCAAAGCTCAAAGTTCTTTTATTAACTCCCCCACTGCACTCAGAATAAAAGTCCAAAGGCCTCAGCACTATCCATGGAGCCATTATCACCACTTTTCTCACCTCCTCAGCCTCACCCCAGCCGATCCCTCTTCACAATCTACCCATGGGCCACTCTGCTCCTCAACCTCTCCCTCACTTCCTGGCGTTCATCCATGCCATTCCTTCTGCCTGAAACACTTCTCTCTTTTGCCATTCTTACAGATCCTTGCTGAAGGGTCACTTTCTCCAGGGTCCTTCTCATCCACCTCCACCTTACTAGGGCAGCTGTTCCTCTCACAGCACCCTGGACTGTCTACTCAACTGTATCAATTTACTTCTCTCTGCCTCATACCCTTGAAGACGTGGCAAGCCACCACTACAACAGAGGCACTCAAATATCTGTGTTGAATATATTCTAAGTTTCCCTGATAAAAATTGTGTAATTATGGCCCAGACACCAGAGGAAAATGATTAAAATCAGACATGACATGACAAAGACAACAATTTGACTATTCTTTGGCAGAAATTACAAACTACACAGGTGTCTACAATCACCCTTAGGAAAGGTTTTAAAAAGGTGTGTTAAAACGTGTTACTAGATAATTACTGGCTCTGTGCTCACTACTTCTCTTAGGTAAACCAAAGTTCATAAAGGGGCCAGACTGAAAGTATCAATGAAGGAATCCTGCATGCTTTAGACAACGTGTCTTAGTCTGACTCAAAATCTGCTGGCTGAAGGCAAGTAGCCATTCCACTTCTCTCGTTTCTAAGCCTTGATGAAAGTAAGGATTCACTAGCAGAGACATAAAAAGGCATGCTGCCAGGAAGCTACACCCTGAGCCGTCTCAGAGGTTGTCAATTGGGAGCTACTTTCTTCAGGCCACATGTCCCACAGTAAGTTACAATCTAGGGCTGGTGACACTACATTTTTCCTAAGTGATGTCATAATTGAAGGCACAAAGCACTCTGAAGCACTCGCCCACCACACCCTGCGCTCCCTACAAGAAGGGGCAAGTTAGCCATCCTCTGTAGGCTTCAGCTGCCCCATCCAGTAACAGATAATCTTGTAAGATTCCTGTGAGAGCTGGACTTCCACACAAACCCCACAGCACTTCACAGACACCCCAGCTCCAGCTGTAAAGTCTTTGGACCTAGTTAATTTTGGTGTGGTTTTCTTTTTTTGCAATTTTTTATAATAAAGTTCAAAATAAACTTTTAAATGTTTTAAATCAAATTAAAATGAAAAGACTCTACTGCTAAAATACTTTTAGGTAATCCTATGACTTAATTCTTGACTAATGCCCTTCCACAGAATTTTTTGAAAAGGAGGATTCACTTCAAAACCTCTGAACTGAGAAACTCCACGAAAATCTACATTAAAATCCACTTCCTACTCACCTTCACTCTTAAGCCTATCTTTATGTATCAACCATTCCTAAACTACAGAACAGCCACTTCCCAAGATGTCTTCACTAGAAACAGCCATCTCCTTAATCAATACCCCAATACACTCTTTAAAAAAAGATAAAGGAAAAAAAAAACCCTGAATCACAAAAGCTACTCTTTAAACCTCCAGTTACCTTACACAGAACTAGTCATGAGCTATGATTACAGCAACTGTTAGGTGACAATCTAGAAAACCCAAAGTGTTCCAAGAACAACTTAAACTATAGCTGGGGGTAGAAGAGGGGGTCCCAGATATCTACCTGCCTGCCTGTCTCTCC